AAAAAAAAAAAAAAGAAAAAAAAAAGTCTCAGTAACGTTGAAAATTACAGGCATGATTTTCACGACCTTGCTGCGTAAGGCTACAGATGCTTCCTGTATTTCTCTGGAGGGTTTCTCCGATGTTTGGTACGGGAGGAAGGAGATGAATCCCAGGAACTTTGCCAGCAGACGAGCGAGGAGCAGCACAGAGGAAAACCGCTGCTTCTCATCCTGAAAAGAGAGCCGAGTGCAGGGTGGGAACATTCTGCAAGAAGCACTACGTGTTTGTAAAAGAAAGCTCATGAATGGAATACCTGTTGCTCCATATCGCCGTCCTCTTCCTCCTCTCCCTCCCCAACGGACGCAGACGGACGCAGGATGGACACCTCGTCCAGATGGAGGAGCTGCTGGCACAGGCTGTCCTGGAGGTGCTGGTTCATCTGGCAGCTGAGAGCCAAGACAGGCAATTAGGGAAAAAAAAATATGTTCTTATTTCGTTATCTTAGTCGAATTTGACCATTATTACAATTCAAATATGACGAAAACAAGAGTAAAGACTTAAAACTCAAATTTGTATTTAAAAAAAAAAAAAATCACAGTAGATCCGTGCTTTAACAGTCAAAAAACTTTAACAGCTCATTTTTATTGAGGGTATCCTTTTAATTGGTCCACAAAACCAGTTAAACCTGAGGAGAATCAGACCTGTACAGCAGAAGCAGTGTCCCCAGAGCCACCCTGTAGCAGAGAAGCAAAGGTCCGATGAAGTCCAACATGGAGAGGAACTCCACCAGCCAGGGCACGGTCAGAATGGTGCGCCGCCTCCTCACGCTGTTACTCAACACGGCACAAACGTCCAGCACCTGAACACTCTGTGGAGGGAAAACATGTTCATTTTTCCCCTGAAATCCATAGCAACAGAAAACAAAAGATAAACATTTGAGTTAAAACTACTTAAAGGAGGAAAAAAAAAAAAAAAAAAAGAAAAAAAAAAAGTCTCAGTAACGTTGAAAATTACAGGCATGATTTTCACGACCTTGCTGCGTAAGGCTACAGATGCTTCCTGTATTTCTCTGGAGGGTTTCTCCGATGTTTGG